TCGACCATACATGACCATACATATAATTATTAAAAATTTAGTGAGTTTTGTCACATGAAATTTGTCAATCACATTAATTAGAATTGGTAGGGAAAAATATAAACCTACCCTACCCTCGATAAGATTGATTAGATTTCATTATCAATGATAATGAAATCTGACGTAATTCAACAGGTAAGAATAATCCTATTATAATTGGAGGAGGTCAAAAGGATTAAAATATATTCCCGACAAATCTGGCAACAAATCTCCTATGATCTCTCACAAGCAAAAGATAAGATCAACCATCGACATCGGCAGAACCAATTTGATTCCAATCGACAATCATAAATAGGGCACCAAGCCATTAAAGAAGGTACGAGAAAAAACTCCTAAATAATATATATGTAACTATTATGTAATACGATTACAAATACTAACTTGATCGTCGGAGGGTCCTTGGCCGGCACCCCACCGGTGCCATTCCAGGTGACGTCCCTTTGTTTTACAGGTAAACGCCGTCGTTCCGAGTTGCGAGGATTTTTGCATCAACAGTTGGCGCCGTCTGTGGGAACGATTAGTTCTCTAAAGAAATAATAATCCTGGCGCGACTTGGCTCGGACGGCAAGACGAAAGTTTCCGATTATGGAAACCATCCCAAAGTCATCAGTTGACAACGGGTTTCCATGCTCTTATATACGGACGGGACTCTACATCCTGATGACCCGTCCAACATACTGGGGGCAAAATGGTAGGCTACGTGATGCTACCTAGTGTACGATGACAATAATTTGGCACGTTGACCCAGGCAGTCCACTGTGGTGTTTTCCGTCTAATGATGCTTGGTCCCCTCACTATGGAGGTTTAGTCGTCTAAGACCAGACTCTATCTCATATCGGGCAGCAGCTAATTACCAAGGCCTGATTGGTGAAGACTAAGGCCTGGTCCTTCTGCACCTACATAAATGGGTCGGTCTCCACCCATCAAAAAGATCACTACCAACAAGGGGGTCTCTACCTACTAATAAAGCCTCTACTATTGATGATGTCTCTAGCAACGGAGTCTCATTACTCCGTTTGTTCGTGCTATCAAGGTGGCCTTCTACAACCAAGAAGGTATCGAGGCCTTCAAGTCCAAGGAGGTCCAATGTCCCTTAAGATCCCATGTCCAATGAGGTCTGTATCCCCAAAGAGGTTCCTAAGTTAAGGGCAATCATTGGACCCAACGAGGTACTGGCCACCAGATTGTCATCTGGTATTGACCACCAGACCGTCATCTATCAGCCGTTGGGTACCACGCCTCTATCCACCAGGCATCAAGCCAGTCGCTGGACACTAAGCTTTTACCTACCGGACGACAGTCGTCGCTTTCTTCCCTTGCAGTACCAGACACCCCATCCGTTGCATAAACGTCTATAGAATGGGTCATCACCTAAGATCCCAACATCGGGGGCAGAATAGTGGATCACACGATATCAATCGTCAATCTATATACGATGACAAGGTTCAGAAGATTGACGTACCTTGGTACATCGAGCTAGTCGGGTTTCTAGTCTCTACACACCGGGAAGGGTACAACCCTTGGTTATTATAAATTAAGGCTTGGTTATCCAAAACCAAGGCCTAGTCAACCAAGATTAAGAATTGATTACCCAAAATCTACAAAGGTTCGGTCATCCAAGATCAGTGCCCGGTCACCCCAAGTCTGGTCATCAGAGACCAAGACCAGGGCCTAACTGCATGGTCATCAGAGATCAGGACTTAACCTACAAAGGTCAAATCAAAAAACGATCCTCCCCCTCACGTGTTATACTTATGTGGTAATTAATTCTCTTACTAAAGGGACGAGCTGAGTGAAGCTCGTAAACATAATTCCCTTACTAAAAGGGACGAGCTGAGTGAAGCTCGTACAATTTATTCCCTTGCTAAAGGGACGGGTTGAATGAATCCCGTAATCAATATCCCCGTACTATAAGGGATAGTAAATAAATATCCTGTACTACAAGGACTCGGGCTGAATGAATCCCGTAATTAATATCCCCGTACTATAAGGGATAGTCAATAAAATTCCTTATTAAAGGAGTGAAGACCTGAGGGAAGCTCGTACAATTTATTCCCTTACTAAAGGGAAGAGTACCCAGGGGCAGAGTACCCAACAATACTAAAAATAGTACCCGCGGGGGGGTACTGTTCACAGGGGTTGAAAAAAAAAAAAAAAAAATTCTGAGTTACTATTCACGTGAATAGTACCCGCCGGGGGGGTACTGTTCACAGGGGTTGGGAAAAAAAAATTTTCATGAGTTACTATTCACGTGAATAGTACCCGCGGGTACTGTTCACAAGGGTTGAAAAAAATCTGAGTTACTATTCACGTGAATAGTATCTGCGGGTACTGTTCACCGGGGTTAAAAAAAAATAATAATAATATTTTATTTATTACATTCCCAAAGCTAGAAGTGCAAGCTTGGGAATGGGGGGCAACTGGTAGGGAAAAATATAAACCTACCCTACCCTCGATAAGATTGATTAGATTTCATTATCAATGACAATGAAATCTGACGTGGTTCAACAGGTAAGAATAATCCTATTATAATTGGAGGAGGTCAAAAGGATTAAAATATATTCCCGACAAATCTGGCAACAAATCTCCTATGATCTCTCACAAGCAAGAGATAAGATCAACCATCGACATTGGCAGAACCAATTTGATTCCAATCGACAATCATAAATAGGGCACCAAGCCATTAAAGAAGGTACGAGAAAAAACTCCTAAATAATATATATATGTAACTATTATGTAATACGACTACAAATACTAACTTGATCGTCGGAGAGTCCTTGGCCGGCACCCCACCGGTGCCATTCCAGGTGACGTCCCTTTGTTTTACAGGTAAACGCCGTCGTTCCGAGTTGCGAGGATTTTTGCATCAACAAGAATTATAAAATTCCTAACATCAACTTTAAGTAAAAACTTATGAACCAAAACAATGTATGGTTCAGAACTTATTTGATTGTCTAGAGTGTACGTGTTTCTTGACCCTAAAATGACAGAATTTTATTCACACAATTTTGAAAGCACAATTTGGACATCACTTAAAATAATAGGAAAATTTTAAGTAATGAAGATTTTAAATAACATAATTTCTCAAATTTCAATTAGCACTTGAAAGCTTTCAGCACACAAAAATTCAATTCTTAATTTTTTTTTTTTAGCTTTATCAAAGAGTTCAAGTTTGTTCAACGAGGATATTTATGACCATTTGAATTGATATGTTAAAAGGTTTGGACCACTACCCGAAAAGTTTTTAGTTAAGATGCCAAGTGCAAGTGGGATAGGAGTAGATTATAAGGTGCTGTAAGAGGCCCATCCCACCATCGTCGTCAAAAACACTAAAAAATATGCTTCATCCAAAACGACAAGCCTGGTATGGAGGATTGGAAGTGCAGACCATCCAAAAATGCTAATCTACTCATAACCTATCCCCTGTTCTAAATCCAAATTCTCTGAGAGCACTAATTTTGAATTGGAGGAGAAGATCTTTGAATACCCACCTAAAAAAGAACCTTGATCTACCCGGTATTAGTTTCTCTTCCCTTCTCTATCCACACCTGTATAAGAGACATGAAAAATCTTAGAACTTGTAGGTGTCAGAAAGTGCCAGCCACGTGGCATGTCGAAAAGTAGAAACATAGCTTAAGTGGCACTTTGAATGAACAAGAGCTCGAAACCATGTTAGCACAATAGAGCACTCATCAAACTCAAGAGTACAGGTGTTCGAAGTTTAAAATAGACCCTAGCACTGTGTTAGGTCATCAAGCTTCCATCGTCATCTCCATTATTGTCGAAGTGATACAAAAAGAGTGATACAAAAAGAACTCTGTTCAATTTTTTAGTCTATCTATAATAGGAGATCATATCAAAAATGTAACCGATTCTTTCGTTTCCTTGGGCCACTGGCCATCTGCCGGGGGTTTCGGGTTTAATACCGATATTTTAGCGACAAATCCAATAAATCTAAGCTTAGTGCTTGGTGTATTGTATCTTTTTTGGAAAGGGAGTGTGTGCATAAGCTCTACTTTTTCCGTTATAGCTAGCAAAGAAAGGTGTATGCTCTCGCAAATTACTTATGAATAAATTAGGAAATCATATGTAAGAACCATAGCATTTCGTGATTCATTGGCAATCTATTTTGATTCTCTATCAACCGGTAATGTGGGGCCTACCGAGACAGAATTTTTAACTTGCCATCCTCTTGGCTAGTAGGTAAATATTTACCTCCGTGGAAAGGAAGATTCATTCGGATCGACTCGACATGAGAGTTCAACTACATTGCATTGCGAGAATCCATGTTGTATATTTATTTGAAAGAGGTGGACCTCCTTGCTTCCTGCCTTTCTCCTCGATCCACAGAGACAAAATGTAGGACTAGTGCCAACCATTCATCACAGAAGAAAGCTCACTAAGCCAGGATCACTAACTAATACTAACAGGCTGATCTTCGCCAAGAGCTCACATCCACGGATAGGTTTGGCACCTCGATGTTGGCTCTTCGTCACCTGGGTTGAAGTATGTTCCAAGGGTTGGAATGTATGCCCATTAGAGCGGCACGTAAGCTGAGTTCAGAACATCATGAGACAGTTCGGTCCATATCCAGTGTGGGCATTAGAGCATTGAGATGACCTTTCCCTAGTACGAGAGGACCGGGAAGAACGCACCTTTGGTGGCAGTGTAATGAAATCAGAAAGATAAATAGCAACCTCATTGTTATTGAGAAGATCACTGTAAAATTGAATAATGTCAGTGTCAATTCCAAATGGAGCAGAGTACTAGTTTTCAAAATGTCTCTGTTTCCCCTCATTCTGGAGTTGTCCAAGCCACACACAATACGTTGGTTGAGTTAGGCTTTGTGCCTTTCTCTCAGCTTCTGCATGGTAGTATAGTTTTTCTCTTGTTTTGTACAAAAACAATTTAATGACAGAATAAATATATATATATATATATATATTATCACTGAAAACAACTAAAAAGAAAAGAAAATTTAGCATAAGGTATCTTTGTCCCGGTTCAAGAAACATGGTTCCTTTAATACAACAAAAACCTAAGAATAGACATGCCCTTGTTCAGTACCCCATATTCATGCTGAGAACATTCTTCTAATTGTATTTTCATTTCTCAAAATCTCTCACTGCCTCTCCATAAACCCTCTCTTCATCTTCGAAAGCACTAAGTACTAAATTAATATCGTCCTTATCATCACCATCTTCAAACAAATACATGTTTTCTCCTACACTTGCTAATATTCTAGCATCATCTACACCTTTGAAGTTCTTCCCAACTTTGGTGCGTTTCTCTCCATTTGCTAATATTCTAGCATCAACCCCTTTGAACTTCTTTCGAACTTCGGTGCGTTTGATCAACACAACTGAGACCTCTTTCATCACATACCCTGATGACGATAATCGTAACAAAGGAACATACCACAGCTTCGCATACTTGGGAACATGAAGGCTACCCAGTGTGGAACATTCAGTATACATGATCTTTGAATTTATCAACTGAGCAAGGTGATCTCCTCTCACACAAACATTTCCTTCCCTCTCCAAATCCGTAACAAGCACCTTCTGGAGCTTCTGATTAAAAGGTGCAAGCTCCGAGACAACCATTCTCAACATGGAATGCCTCAAAGCCGCCAACTCTAAGCAATCAAGAACAGAGCGAAAAATTGATTTCATTGTTCTCTTTATGGTCAAATTTTGCGGTTCCTCCTCCAATTTATGTAATGAAGCTGATGACAGAATCACAACATTGTCGAGTTTGGCTCCAAACTCGGCCTCCCACTTGACAAATCTGTTGTTTTTGTGGCAAGGCAAGGAAAATTCGAAACAGTTACCTGATGTGTTATATTTGAGAAAGTCAAAAAGAGTTACTTTTTTCTGATACGTTATGGAGGAGGCAAGGAAAGGGATAATCAATGTGGAGAGACTGTAACGCATCGAATTCCCTTCTCAAGAATTGGACACCCATAGGGTGTTCGCGGAGATAGTTGAGAATGAGCCGAGCATTGTAAGGAATTCGCAGAAATTTAGTGCGAGAAATCTCGGCAGGGCTATGTGTATAACGGAATTCAAAATCCTGGATGCGTAGTCTAATGAAGCTGACGGAGAAAAAGCTAAGGCTGCTTGAGAAAATGGGATTGAATCGCTTAGAGATCATGAGACATTGACACACGGAGTTTTGGGGAACTCCATAGAAGGTCTTGACTATAATTTCGGAGAGAATGGAAGCGAATCGCTTGGAGACAATGCGAAATTGATAGACTGATTCATCATCAAGTTCATAGAATATTTTGGTCATAATAATATCTGGAAGTCTATTGAAAAGATCTTCTTCTTCATTACTAGGACTACTCATCTCTTCCTTGTTTTGCTGGCTGAGAAAATTAATCAATTAAATAAACGACCAAATCCATGATTAAAATAAACAACGCAAGAAAAACAAGATGCAATAATAATTTACTTAAAAAAAGAAAAGAAAAAATTAATCAAATTAAATAAACCACCAAATCCATGATTAAAATAAACAACCCAAGAAAAACAAGACGCAGTAATAATTTACTTAAAAAAAACTCCAAATTTAATCAATTAAATAAACCACCAAATCAATTACTCGTATTAAAATAAACAACGCAAGAAAAACAAGATGCAGTAATAATTTACTTGAAAAAAAAAAAAAATCCAAAATTAATCAATTAAATAAACCACCAAATCCATGATTAAAATAAACAACGCAAGAAAAACAAGTAATAATTTACTTTTAAAAAAAACTCCAAAATTAATCAATTAGATAAACCACCAAATCAATTATTAAAATAAACAACACAAGAAAAACAAGATGCAGTAATCATTTACTCAAAAAAAAAAAAAAAAAACTCGAAAATGGAAGAAAATCCCCTCATGTGAACAGTAAATCGTGTTTGGAATAAAAAGGGTTAGGATGTTATTACAAGCTGGACAACAACTATTTCACTGAAGAGGATTAGGGTCCAACCGAGAATAGACTCCAACGATCTTCTCAAGTTTTCGTCCCAACTTTAGATATTACAATCAACGAAGAACCCAAAAAAATAATTATTATTATAATTGTTTCCATAAGAAAATCCTTTCAAACAACAGTTGAAAAAATACAATCATTTTTTAGAATTTAAATTAATAAAAAAATTTGTACCTTTCGCAAACTCGCGATCAATCTTCTCACGCCTCTCACGAACACGAAGCCTAACGCTTCACACACGGCTTTCTTTCTGAAATCACGAAAACCTAACGGAATTGTTATTTTCAGACTGAAAAGAGACACCCTCTACTTAATTGTATTGTGCATAAATTACAATACAGTGACTTATTTTAAGGGTACAAATATCACTGCTCTATTTTAAAGGTAAATTACAGTAATTGCCCCTAAAATTTGTACAAATCTCACTGGCATTAAAGATTTATTATTTTGGTCTCTCTTAAAATTTGGATGTATGCTCAACAATCCCCTCTCCATTAAAACTTGTAAAAAGAATTCTTAAAATAACCAAGTTGTCTTTATACTTTTTTTTTTTACAAGAATTTTTTGGAAGAGGGTAACGGTGGTAGAGAGAAAAGATAAAATAATAAAAGAGATAAGATAGAATAATTGGTTTTTTAGATATATTTTGTATTATAAAAATATATTACATATAAGGGTATAATTGAATTTTTATAGTCTTAAGGAAGATCGTAATAAAGTTCAAGTTGTCTTTATACTTTTCTTTTTACAAGAATTTTTTTGGAAGAGGGCAATGGTGGTAGAGAGGAAAGATAAAATAATAAAAGAGATAAGATAGAATAATTGGTTTTTTTAGATATATTTTGTATTATAAAAATATATTACATATAAGGGTATAATTGAATTTTTATAGTCTTAAGGAAGATCTTAATAAAGTTCAAATACTCCACTCATGTAAGGATGACAATTTCTTCCAACCCGCTGGGTTTTCGCCCCGCTTCGTTCTTAATGGGGCGAATTTGGTAGCTCCATAAATGGGTTTGGGATGGATATGGTAAAAGAATTGAAAACCCGAAGCGGGTTTGGGGTGGGGGCGGATTTAGTGATGCCCCCACCCCACCCCACCCCCGCCCCGCCCCGCCCCCGATTACATATATATATATATATATATAATTTAAGTGTTTATTAATATATTTTGACTAAATATTCGCTAGACTCACTACTTACTAAAATTCTACAATTGTGCACGTGATTCAATCTTCAAAGATTCAAGATCTTAGTATTCTATCCCAAGTTCAGGAATTAATTCAACAGTTTCAACTTTACCGCAATTAAACGAAGTATGCGAGGTGGAGTTGGTATTTTGTCAACTGGAGTAGGGGCAGGGATGGTATGCCAATTATAAACCCGTCTCGGAATTGGAGCGAAGTTGGTATGACGAATTTTTTAATGGGGCGGGGTAGGGTTTAGCCAACTCCGCCCCGTTGCCATCCCTACACTCATGTGAGATTTGCCTAAACTTCAGATGAGGTAAGTGGAATTTATCCATATTTTAATTGGTCCATCTACTCAACAAATAAAGAAGTGGGACCCTCCATTTACTATAACAAATCGATGCAAGTATCACTACTCTAATCAATCATAAATTAATTCACTGCAATAAACAGGTACAAGTATGACTAACCAAGTTTACTTCTCTTTTTAAAATTAATTGGTAGGGTTATAAATTATTACATAGTCGGAAACCATTGTTATCAGGCTAATCAACATTTGACACATCAGCAAATGTGTCGAAATATCATTCACTTTTTTTTTGCTAATGTGTCAAAGTGTTAATTTTATTTTTTATTTTTATTATTATTATTTCTTTCTTTTTTTACTGAACAATGGTTAGTGGATTAGAGTGTTAGGTACTGTTTGATAAAACTGAAAATTAAATACTTAAATTTCATGTAATTATAAAATAAATATTCTTTTGATATGTTTTGAATTTTCAGTGAATTAAGTGATAAGTTATGACCCTATCATTTAAAAATTTACTTCATTTTAAGTGGTATTTATTGATATTCAAATTGCTTTATCAAATACACTTAATTTAATAAGCAATTAATTTTGAATTAAGTGCTGATCTGAGTGCCAAAAGCCCCCAATTGGACCAGATAATAATTTCTCCATTGCGCCAGCCAAACTGATTATGATTAGACCAACCAAAAGCAGTTTAGAAAAAGAAGGATAATAATACTAATAATTATCTACGAAAAGATTCCCATCACAAAATTATTTTCCTAAATTTGTAAAATTAATTTACAGATTTTGCAAACTAATGAAACCTACTTTTACAAATTTAATTTTTTTTAAAAAAAAAATTGTAAATTCTATATACTTGAGAACTATTATAAATACAATATCCGACATACTTAATCTGTGGAGAAATAATGTAAAATGCAATCAGACCAAGGTTTTGTAACGAAAATAAGTCCCTTTAACTTACCAATTCAACACAATGCATGGTTCACAACTTATTTGGTTGTCTACAGTATCCTGTGCCTTGACTCAAGGGCTGAGGATTTCTATAATACAATTAAGTATTTACTTGTAAAAAAATAATGAAACTGCAATTCAAATATTACCTAAAATAATAAGTTTTACTTAAATACGATAAAAATTTAAGTAATAGATAATTCAAGCAAGTATAACAAAATTTCTCAATTTTCAATTAGCACTTAAAATTTTCAGCATTAAAAAATTCAATTCTTAAGATTTTATACTTTTTGATTTTATCAAACAACACAAGTTTGTTTATAAATTATTTATGATCCATTTGACTTGACATAACAATAAGCTTAATCTGGAAGATTGGATCTGTACAGTATCCACACGTCAAAGTCTATGTTCTACCTCATAACATACCCTGTTCTGAATCCAAATTGTCTCAAAACACTCATTTTTTTTTTTTAAATAGTGGTGTCGGGCTTCTCCATAATTTACCATCAAGCACATGCAGTTTCACATTCTACATACACTGAGCAATTACCCACTTTGAAGGACTGCAAGGAAATTTATTATTATTAATTTTTTTGAATGATGATAACGGTATCTAACCTCTTAAAACAACACATAATTCATCTCTTTTTCGTCCACAAATCTTTGATTACTCACCTAGAAAAGATCTTTAATAGATTCTTCCCTTCTCTATTCACACATGTAAGAGAGGCATGATTTTTTTTGTCTATATTTCTGTTCTTCTTTCTAGACAAAAGTCAGACTATGTCCTATAATCCCCCTTCAAAGACATCCATTAAAGATCACAATTAAAATGCATGAAACAATAGGTTAATTAACTGACACAGGTTTCATGCAAATTCAAAGGTAAAACTCCAAAATTCATGTGTGCTTGGCTCGTAAAAATGGTTAGTTCCAAGGGAACTGGAAGGGCGTGCCAGGAACCATGAAAGTCTAAATGGAGTGACCAAATAATATTCCAAAAATGAAAGTTGTGAGATTAAGCAATTGTGAAGAAATTCAGAATGACGCCTCTTGAGTTTTTTTTTTTGCCTTCCATAAAAGGATTTAGGATTTATCAACGGTTAAACTTAAAGTACTTAGCTTGAAAGTAAAGCACTGAAACGTATCAAAGTGGTGGACTAAAACTAAAAATATTGAAATGACATCGAGAATGTAAAGATAGCTGGAATTGAATTGAAAATGCTGTTTGAGTTGTGTGTTGAACAGGTCTTTATAGTTACAACAAAGTTGCCTATTTATAGAATTCTCTGATGACAGTTATTGTAGGCAGTTCCATTGGCAGTTACGTGGATTTGATCAGATTTTGTCTAGTCTCTCTTATTCACATTAAATTTTTTTGTAGTCGATCCATAATCAAAAAGGTGTTTGTGATTGTTCAATAAGTAATGAAACAAAAGATACCATAGAGTTAGGACACTTATTGTATGAGGTTTACATGTGTGGGACTATGTTTCTATTTTCTGCATGACTTTTCACTGATTGGGAATAACCATTCTTCCACTAGAAATTCTACACGTGTCCCATGTTTCCATATTTTGCGCTCACCTTACCACAACGGTTTGGTCCACATTCTGCCATTTTTATTACTTTTTCACATGACTTTCCACTAGGATTTTGCACGTTTCTATATCATATCGGCCCATATGGCGAACCTTGACTGCCAAATTCCTACTGAAGTGAGAGATTTGCTTCCCAAATCGACGAGAGAGAGAGAGAAAAGGAATTGAAAGCTATAAGCTGAATTAGGATCTGTTCGTTGTACAGGGAAGACCCCCACTTTCTTTCCGCTTCAAAAATGCTATCAAGGATGAAAAAAAAAAAAAAAGGGTTAACTTTGTAGTAAAATATAGTATAGGAATCTGATTAGCTAAGAGGTTGACTTTATAATCTAATAGTTCAAGAAATAGGAACTTTTTTTTAAGAAGCCTATCCTTTTCAAATTAAAAATTAAAAATTAACTTTAAAAATTAATGATGCGGTCATAGCGTGTGCACAAAATAATGCATAACACTTTAGTTTTGGAAATTGTATCAAGCGGGCATCATAGTTTACATTTATAAACCGCTATGTAGTATGAAGTGAGAAGGGATCGTCCCAAGAGATTGAACACGTGTTGGAATTTAACTTGACTTTAATGTTAATTAAATTGAAATGGTAAGAAAGAGAGAGAGAGAGAGTTTGAGAGAAAAAGAGTTTGGTGAAGTGATTAAGATAAAGTAAAATTAAAAATATGGAAATGGAAATAACAATGCAAATAAATTTAACTAAATTAAACTAAGAATTAACGAGATAGGAAGAGAGTCTTAGGGTTAGGATTCACCACTAAGCTCATGCAATTAACTATATGCTTTCAATTAATGGGGAATTTATTAGTGTAATCATAGATGTGGTCACATTATCATCAAAAATCACAATTGTAAACATAGATTATCAACATCAAGAATGAATTGTCTACCTAATGACAATTAAACTAAAGTGTAAAACCCATTCAAGACTACGTCATAACCCACCATACACATTCACAAATGTATCCAATAAGAGCACGCATCAATCAAAAGGATATACTAATTGTAATTAGAAGCGTGGATTAACATAATCAAGCACAAATTGCCTACTTAACTACAATTAACTAATGACAAGTAAGCTAATTTGTAAAACAACTCATCAAGATTAAGCCTTCATCCATCAAATTAATTGACAATTGTATCACATAAGTATCATGCTATAGCCATCACTAAACACAAATACAAGAAGTATCTAGCGTAGAATATAATTCTAAAGTAATCACACATAGACATGCATATTACATGTAGAATTAATGAAAGAATTAATTTTAAATCATTTAATGAAGAATAAAATCCCTAATTAAACATACATAGACATATAATCAACTGGAGATTTCAATGGAAAAATTCATCAATACAAGCCCTAATTTGTCAAATCAAGCATGTATATATAAATAAATCACAAGGCCATACAATTAATTACAATATATTAATTCCCCAAGAAAAGAAATACAAAAGTTTAGGTTATATGAACTTAGGACTCATCCAAGCCCTAAGTGAAGAACTAGCTCATGGAGGAGATGATCATGGTGTCAACAAGGCCAATCCCCATCTTTGACTCCTTTTTCTTCTTCCATAAATATTTCTCAAAACCCTAACTTTTTCTTCTTTTCGTGTTTTCCAGAGTGAACCTTATATCTTACAGAAAAACTAAAAACTAAATAATAATAATCAAAACTCCCTCTACAATGAGTCTTTGTTTTTCCTTTAATACCAACATTATTGGAGGCTAATAGTTCACAAAATATGCCCAAACAAGAAAATTCCGTAGCCAAGTAAAAGCTAAATCCTGCAATGCAGCCAGGGGCTGGGGGATCGATCCCTCAACCTTAGGGATCGATCCCCGAGGGGTATTTTTTTGCACCTTTCTGCCAATAGTGGGGGATCGATCCCCCAGTGCTAGAAATCTCTTTTAAGCCTCATTTAACTCCATTTTGGCTCCAGGCTAATCGGTTTGCTTTTTGATCGTTGGGAACATCATCAAAGGCCCGGAAAAAGGTAGAATTGACCGTTTTTGAAGGATAAGCGCACTATACGAACAATGGGATGCGGCCTCTTTTTGTCATTTTCTAAGCTTTTTCCGATTGTCTTTGCTTGTCTCCAAAAGACTTTAATCACTACAAAAAAAAATAACTTTTTACCACGGTGAAAAAAGCTTTCTACCACGGTTCCGCACCGTGGTAGAAAGTGGTTCTTTCCACCACAGTTTTGAACCGTGGTAGAAAGTCAATTTTCAACCACGGTTCCGCACCGTGGTAGAAAGTGATTCTTTCCACCACGGTTTCCCACCGTGATAAAAAGTCTTTCTTTCTACCACGGTCACCGTGGTAAAAAATGTTATATAATTTTTTTAAAAAATAATAATTTAGCCCTTATGAAGCCTCTTTTTTTTCTTCTCGTGGTAGAATTAATGTGATAGTTTCTACCTTAAATTAAGCCCATAGCATAAAGTGTGTATATATATATATATATATATAAATGGGTAACCTGTCGTCCAACAACATATATCACTCATATCCTACTCCACATACACAACCAAATTGCAGCCAAAGGCATATATATACAACAATCACCTAAAATTAATCCCAAACATTCATTAAATAATTTGAAGTACAAAGTTTCCATCATTGTTAAAAAAAGAACAATCACCAAAAATTAATCCAAAACATTCATTGAATAATTTGGAGTACAAAGTCTCCATCATTGTTAAAAAAAAAAAATAAAAAAAAAACCAAGTGCTAACAAAAGATTGCAAAAAGAAGTAGCACCGCCAAGCTTGCCCAACCATCTTCATTTACTGGAATTTCCCGATAGTTTAAACAAATATATATATATATATATATCAATGGAATTTCCCGGTAGTTCACTCCAAATTCTTTCAGGGAACCCAGCGCATGAGTCTTTGATACCAATAACTTCCTCTTGTATCATAAGGAGCACCAGCAACAACCAACATCTAAAAAGCAAATCAGTCCTAAACTATAGTAACAATTTAAGAAAGAGCATAACAGGATATAGATTCTCAAATCTCATCATTTGTATATGATTTTTTAACATATATCTCTTCGATAGGTAAAATATAATCCATTAAGAATGCCAAGAAGGATACACATATTTTAACAATGTATAGCACTATAGTATTTTAATAAATTTTACCAATATCTTCATCATCATATTTATGCTAGACAGAAACACACCTTAAACATGTCGGTCTGTCACAGAAAGGAGACTACGTGAACCTAGCAACTGTGGAAGTGATTTCAAAATGAAGCCTAATGTCACTTTAGAAAATTCTACAAGCAGAAGACAAGACTAAAGCAAAGATTGGCTTCATATAGCAGTAAAGATTTATAGATGGAAAAAGAAAAAATAAAATTATGACCTCTTCAAAGAGGTTTCACTGCCTTACCATATATATGTGCAATTTAACTTCCTTAAACACCCTAGTAAATTTTCTAACTCAAATCACATCAAAGCCCTTTTTGTTTCATGGAGCAAACAGCGTTTTCACATTGGAAGTAAGTGATGCTAACATGCTATATCCAGATGAGCTTTATGTAAAAAGAAGTATGAAGAAGCATGCCTCATGCTGCAATCTCATTGCTTACAGTGTAGGACAAGATGTTCATGCAGAAAATAAGGAAATAAATAAAGAGGAATAGAAAAAGAGAAAACAAAACCTAATTTTTAAAATAACAAAAGCAACAAAAGGAAACAATAAAAAAAGGTGTTGATTGTTGAAAAAAAAAAAAGAAAGAAAATACCATTCTCAGTTTTGTTATAACACCGTACCGGGTTGTACGATTCAAAGCTCTGAATAGTGCAGCAGATAATGCAGCCACCTGCACCCCAAAATAAAAAATAAAAAGAAAAGAAAAAGGAATGTAAGTTTTCCTCGGAATCCAAAACATCATGTACATTACAACAGACTAAATCGCTTTGTGCAGCAAATAGCAACTAGACTCTTTTCCAAAAAGGCAAATACATAATCAGATAACCACAGGAAGGAAAGCTGTTCGCAAGCGCTGCGAAAAGAACAAATGATTTTGCACAATTTCTACAAGTAGGGAGACATTAAGGAAAATATTGTTTCTACAAGTTGAGGAACACTTAAAAACAAATGGTAGAGCAGATATAACAAGCTGAAAGCCTAACAAAAAAATAAATAAATAATAAAATAAAATAAAATTTGTAGAACTGACATAACAAGCTGAAAGTCCAACACCAGCCGGATGATTTATAGTTTACATCCCTTACAGTTTATATGCATCCTTCAATGTTTAATTTAAATTCTGCAATAAGGAAATGCAAAAAATAAATTACATTTTAGGAATTATACCTCATTTGGAGTCCCTTCACGAGTCTCAAGAGCAAATGCGAGGGCTGAATGAAATGATCTCTTTGTACTTCATGGAGTTCTAATATGAAAATTATTATGAAACTGCAAGTGATGCAAAAAAGCACAACAAATAATAAATAGAGAAAAACAGTAAAAGACAGGGTCTCTACATAGAAAACAAAAAGTAGCAAAAGGAGAAGAGAAAAGGTAAAATAAATAACAAAATAGAACAAAAGAATAAAAAATATTAACAAAAACACCATACACAATTGACAAGCGGAGCCAAAGCATTTGCAGTCAGTTTTGTGACATCTGATATTTTCAGCAGGTGCGTTGGTAGAAGTGAAAGTAAGGAAGCCTGCCATGACAATTAAATTTTATAAGGATTATCAAACTATGCTTGTCTTCTTCTATTTAAAATAAGTTGAAAGAATAAAGAACAACAAAAAATAAACCAGTAATTCTCTCATCAATTGAAGATAACATTTTGAAACTGTACGACGTGCATTCACACAAGATAGAATCATAAGACACTAAAATAAATATCGAGAAAAGGCACCAAAATTAAATCCAGAATTAGTTGGGGCAGAAACAGAATACTACAATGAAGATCCCCCTCAAGTTGTGATAAAAAGAAGGAAAAAGAAAAAGAAAATAAGAAGTATGCTGACTCATATCTTTACTTATCACACTCTCTAAAGGAATGGATTATGGTTATGGTTATCATGGCCTATGGCCACCCATTCTTGGCCAGTCTTGTTCCTAAAGAGCATTTGAAATCCATGGGCAAGGGATATTTTATGGAAAGCACCCAAATATACATCAGAGGAATGCAACTTCATAGATAGGAACTTCAAACTACATAACCAACTTTAAAACCCATTTCCATAACCTTACCATTCACCTTCCTACTGGCCTTTAGCCTATAGCCTAAAAAATGAGATAGTGTATATATATGATTAGAAGCCTAAAGCTAATGCAATGCCAATCATGGGGTGGTGGTGGTGAACCTGGTGGTAATAATAATAACAGAGAGTAATACAATCATACAATGTATTTCATTAAATTACAAGAAAAAAAAAAGGGAGAGAGAGTAAATGGCAATAGAGTAAGACTACAATCATAGCAATCGGATCAGTTATAAACTGTTATAGTACTTCCTTGGATGGGTTGTTCTCTTCTATGCGTTGTTTTGTTTATGCCGACAACAATGCTCTTGAGGAGGCACCTAAAAGTGTAATTTAGGTGGATCAATGGAAATTCAACCTGAATAAAAGATGCCTTTATCATAATTAAGTACTCACTGATATAACGCTAATAATTTTAGAAATAATATTACTTGTCTATGGCAGTATACACAATAATTTCAGCTTTCAATTGCAGTTTCATACAACCCATTAACAGAGTACTTAGAACACAAAGAGAACCCTAAAATTTTCTGATGCTACATGTGGAAAAACAACAGTAAGGAACAATCACCGATGGAAAGCTCACAGTTTTAAAGTAAAAACTCCATTATATAAATGTGCAAATATATAATAATATTTGGGTTCACAAAATGTATTCAAATTGAAAGAATCAGACAACTTGTTTCATATAGAATGTAAATATACCATATAATCTTTCTCACACACACACGCACACACGATACATATATAAATATATTCTTGGATTATAGATGTAGATTTTCAACAATTTGAAGAAGGCGAAACAACTGAACTCACCTGGCCGCCAACTTGCTGGCTTTCTAAATTCTTTGTTCACAAACAGAATTGGTACGTAGAAGACAAAGAACGGTTCGAACTCTATTGAAGGTTACGAGGATCAGAATTAGATAAGGAAATTGAAGTAAAAACAGAAGAGGATGAAGAGGATGAAGGCTTTCTAAATCCTCTGTTCATCAGCTTCTTCATTTTCTAGGTCATATTTAAGCAAAAATTCAACATCTGCGTATATATCGCCGAAATCATCATCGACGCCTTCCATCTGAGATAAAAACCCTAGAGAGAGAAAACAGATATCGCTAGGGTTTTTTTTGTTAATCAATCACCATGTGAGACAAGGCTCAAAAACCCTAGAAATTTACTCAACATTTTGGTCGATTGCCGATCTTCAAGTCGTTACTCAACATCATCCTTATGAGAGAGTAGAGAGGGCTTGAGAGTTGAGAGACAATGGGCCTGAGGCTGAAGCTTTCGAACGGCGAACCTGAACTGGAACAGCGGGCGACGGAAACTGAAGGATATGGGTTTTAATTTTATAAACAATCTGAAATGATATGCCGATATGGGTTCTGATTGTTGTAGATTTTGTAGGTTGTAGTTGCAGAGACAGAGAGAGGGCAAGTTCAGAGTTGAGAACGAGAATAGAGATGTAGGCGATTTGGGAGACTGATCTAATTCTTGTAGATTTTTGTAGTTTTGTAACCATCCGGCATTTGCGTTGCTTTCTTTTTTTACTGAAATTTTATGGATAAATTTTTTCAATTTAATTTTTTTTTTTGACCTCTGTTTCTTGTCACATAGTGTCTTCTCGGATGCTCGAAAATAATTTTCAAAACTCTTTCGTGTGGATTGACAGCTTCCTTTGAGGATCGAGTCATTTTTACATTTTCACTTTTCGGACAATATGCACTATTTCGTCCTTTTCATTATTCTGTCTTATCTCCGTTTGTCAGTTTTTGACACAACCTCACTTTTCGTGCTCGGAGTTAACTTTTGACTTCACGTGTCTTCATCTTCAATGGTTTTCTCGAAATACGTATATTTACTTTTGCAAGAAAGTATTCTGGTTGCTCCCGGTGTCCATAGAGGCATGGATGCACAATTTTTTAAAATCTTTTTCATTTCTTGGGGTGTTTTTCATAAATATCTTTTGAAGATATTTTTTTCAGCGGCATCTAAGAAAATATCTTTTGGAAGATATTTTCATTCTGGGGCAGTTTTGCAGTTAACCCTTTTTGTAGAGGCCATTGTGCAATTAACAAAAGTTATTGCAAAATATCTCGTCTGGAGCCTGGATCCTCATACAGGATTCATTTTCACATTTCGTCAAGTCGTGTATTCCTAGAATTCCGTTCTGGTCATTTTTCTCCAGTTTCAGGATTTCTGACCCTAGTTGCCACCGAACTTGTTCGGGGCATAACTCCCTGCTCGGAACTCGGTTTTCGACGCCATTTCTTCCGTTGTTCATATTTTCTCATTTTGAATCGATATTGTGATTTGTGTTTTGATGTTCTAATGTAATTTAGGAATGATCCTATAGATTCAATTGGAACATAGACGTTAGGTGGCATGACCTACTTCTGTTATTTTCATGTTTTAGATTTCAAGCTTATAGCTTTAAGAATTGGTATTTTGTTGCCTTGTATAACATGCCTTTATGTGGCTAGTTGCATTGAAATTGTAATTTGTGTTTTGATTGTTCAACATGGTCTAGGATGATTCCTTAGACTTATTTAGAACATAGACGTAAGGAGGCATGATCACTTTAATTGTTTCTGTATTTTAGATTGCAAGTTGATACCTTTAAGAACCTTTATCTTGTTGCTTTGTATAACGTGCTTTCATATTGTTTGAATTGCATAGACGATGTGATTTATGCTAGAAATGATCTAAGATAGCTTAGGATGATCCTTGAGTCTAATCTTTGACATAGACGTTAGGTGACATGATCCCTTTTTGAAATGATTCATGTTGTCTAAAAATCTTAAAGAAATCGAGTCATGCATGCTCGTCCCCTACGAATAAACTTATTAGACTTTTTTATTAACCCGAAGTTACTGGGTGTTTTGCAAGTAAAGAAGCTTTGTTGTGGGATACACAACACTCTTAGACATGCTAGAAGTCTTGAAGTATTTTTGATTACATTGAATATGTACATGGTAGCATATCATGTTTACTTTTGTTTATTTTGATAAAACTTGTACTTATTGTTTAAGCCATGTAATGTGCACTTAAGTACACCTTTTGACACTCTTTTAATGTGTATGTAATGAGGCCGGAGGCCAATATCATATATTATGTATGTTATGTACTTTTACTTACAAACTTCATTATAGAAATATTGAAAATTCATGAGATATTATGTCATAACTTTTGCATCGGGTGTGGGAATTCTATTTTCATTCTTTCATAGGGTCTCATAAATCATGTTTGAAGTGTGGCCAAGGGCCAAACGGTAATTTGAAATCATTTGTCAATTTTGGTTTTCATGTTTTCCATTTCAAGTCCATTTTTGCCTTTTCGGCCGTTGGGAGGTCGAATTTTGCATCGGCAGTATTTTTAAGCCATGGACCATTGTAGCGCATCCAAATAGGTAAGTTACGTTTGAATGCATTATCGTTTTCAAGAAAAACCTCTTCCTTGGCAATTTGAGCCTCCTAGGAACTCATTTTGAGGTTTTGTTGCATAATCTGATCTAGGGGTATTCTAAACCTTTCACATCAGTTTTATTTCTTCTTTCAACATGGTCGATTAGAAAACGTGATTTTAGGGAGGATTTCTTCTTCGTGTTTTTCCAGAAAATATCGTCTTGGTACCGGAAATCCCTTGTGAAGTTTCAGCTTCCAGTTTTCATTTTAGCAGCTTTTTAGCTCTTTTGACCAGATTTCTTGGGAGGGCATTTAGGCCATTTTTCAGTGAGTTTTTTTTGAATTCTTTGGCGAGTCACGTAAAAAACTCAATTTTGAGGGGGGGTTTTTTCTTTGTGCTTTTGCAAAAAAATTCATCTAGGCCTCCAAATTCAGCCTCTGTTTTGAATTTTCTTGAAAAAAAACCACACAGCAGCTTTATGGGCTACTGCCAGCCATGTGTGCACCAAGCGCGCACGCGGCGTGCATGGGCGCGCGCATGGGCTTGCGCATGGGGCTGTCATGGCCCCTCGTCGGGCCACCGCTACGTCAATTCTTATTTTGGGTTTTTCTCCTTCGTCCGGACTCCGATTCAAGTGAATTTTTTTTAACTTGACTAATTTTTCGCTGTCTTTCCAACAGTGTGCTCAGTTGCACCCGGTTCTTCCTAGATAATTACCAGTTTACCCTTTTGCCTTAAGTGCTCGTTTTTCTTCTTCATGTCGTTTCTCCTTCGTCCGAACTCCGAATCATGCGATTCTTGAGTCCATCTTGATTAGTTTTTTGCTTTCCTTCCAACGGTGTGATCGGTGGCACCCGAATCTACAGTTTTCAGAAATGACTATTTTGCCCCTGGGGGCATATTTGTCATATTTTCGATTTTTTGCTTCCACATCAGTTCTTGTTGAATTCCACGACCTCATGGAAGGTCACTTTGACTTCTTAGAGTCTTGTCTTCTGTTTTCGTTTCCGTATTCGGATCCGTTATCGGATCATCCTTTCGATTCATCACTAACGCACTGGCCTAAAAACTAGGGCCGTCACAGGTGGTATCAAAGCTCATAGGTTCAAAAACTTTAGGACGATGGGTTTTGGGTGCATATCATGCTTTTGTTGGTGTACCTTGATATATTTATATGCCTATGATAACATGTTTTGGTATTACAACATGTTTACGTGCTTCATTTGATAACATGCTCGGTGTGATGACATGTTTTCCGTACTTATATGCTTATATGTTTAAAAGCATCTTTGTTTGACATGTTTGCTTATATGGCACCTTGAGTAGATAGTCCATTGCTATGATCCATGCTAGCTGTTTACTTTTATGTCTGGTTTTGGCATTGCCTCTTAGGATTTTTCGTATCCCTTGGATGCATTCTTGTTTCACGAGTTTCCTCTTTGGATAGGAGAAATTCATTCTGTAAGGACCCATGTCGGGAACCTTCTTATCTGTTCTGTCAATCGATGCAAGTAAGGCTCATGTGAGCGTAGAGGACTGCGATTCATTTTCTTTTCCTTCGTGGCTTCTAGATCTAAGGCCTTAAGCGTATAGTGCCAGTGTCATTGTTGTCAGAGTTTTGGGATTAGCTACCCCAACTCTCGCAGATGCCTGGTTCCCGTAGAGCTTTTGGTAATGATCGTTTCTGACATTGATGTCATTTATTTCGAAAAGTTCACTTCTGGGGCATGTTACGAACTAGTGCCTTATACTGTCATGCTATCTTGCTGACGAGTAAGTGTAGGTGGGTTCTGGTCACTGTTCGTACTGCCTTGTCACTCTCTTCTTCTATCATGTTTCAACGTTTCGTTGTCTTGGGATTCTCTCGGTAGTTGACGTTGAGTTAATGTGCCGATTCGTATGGGGTGTTGTCTCAGTTCATGGTTTCGCGTTCCTTCAGTTAATCTTTAGACTTCAGGATTTGTCCTTCAGTGCGTTGTGAGCTGTCCTTGATTTGACCTTTTGTTCGGTCATTATTATGTTCTCTCTGGTATGTTCCTAATTTCGGGGATGAAATTCCTTTAAGGATGGTAGGTTGTAACGACCCGGTCATTTGCCTTCCTTTCATTTTTCCTGAAATTTTACAGATAAATTTTTTTCATTTAATTTTCTTTTCTGAGCTCTGTTTCTTGTCACATAGTGTCTTCTCGAGTGCTCGAAAATGGTTTCTGAGACTCTTTTGTGTGGATTGACAACTTCCTTTGAGGACCGAGTCATTTTCGCATTTTCACTTTTCGGACACTATGCACTATTTCGTCCTTTTCCTTATTCTGTCTTATCTCTGTTTGTCAGTTTTTGGCACAACCTTACTTTTCGTGCTCTGAGTTAGCTTTTGACTTCATGTGTCTTCATCTTCAGTGGTTTTCTCGAAATACGTATCTTTACTTTTTCAAGAAAGTACTCTGGTTGCTCCCGGTGTCCATAGGGGTATGGATGCACATTTCTTTAGAATCTTTTTCATTTCTTGGGGTTTTTTTCATAAATATCTTTTGAAGATATTTTATGTCAGCGGCATCCAAGAAAATATCTTTTGGAAGATACTTTCATTCTGGGGCAGTTTCGCAATTAACCCTTTTTGTAGGGGCCATTGTGCAATTAACAAAAGTTATTGCAAAATATCTCGTCTGGAGCCTGAATCCTCATACAGGATTCTTTTTCACATTTCGTCGAGTCGTGTACTCCTAGAATTCCGTTCTGGTCGTTTTTCTCCAGTTTCAGGGTTTTTGGCCCTAATTGCTGCCGAACTTGTTCAGGTCATAACTCCCTGCTCGGAACTCGGTTTTCGACGCCGTTTCTTCCGTTATTCATATTTTCTCATTTTGAATCTTTTTTGTTTACAGAGTTTTTCCGTTTGTACGCGTTTGCTCAAAATCCACTTTTCCGGACCAGGCAAGGCCGGTTCGAGGCACTTTTTGAGATTTCTATAAAACAGGAATGAGATATTTCATTTTTCATCTTCCCCACTCCTCTTGCACGACCTGAAGCAGCCATGGATGCCCATGGAGCTGCCACCTTCTCTCTCCTCCTTTGATCTACTTTTCCTAAGTGAAAAGTCTTCGGCCTTCACATTTTTTGTTCTCCTCAACGTGTTTTACCATTCTCCCTTATTAGAATTCATTTCCGACCATTTCTTGAGTTTGGGTTTGAGGTCAAGTTGTGATTTTCATGGAGCTTCCTTCGGATTCATGTAGATCATGTTGTCCCCGACAAAACCCTTCGG